TGTTTTAATTTGCATCTCTCTTAGAGCAAGGGATTTTGAACATTTCTTCATGTGCTTATAAGCCATCTGAATGTCTTCTTCGGGGAAGTTCATTCCAAATATTAATCCTTGACCACAATATGAGCATAAAGTTTATTATGAAATTATTTTGTGCTTTGTATCACTTGAAATCCAGGGTGTGTTTTATAACTGGTAGCACAAGGCATTCAGGCTAGTCACACCTCCTGTGTTTGTTAGCCCCACGTGGCTGGAGACTCCCGTCGCTTGTCTCCTTCAAGCCTCATAGCAGTCACATAAGGAGTTTGATAGCATTGTGGTGGTTGTTAGTGCTGTCGAGGCCACGACAACTCACAGCGGCACTATAAACAGTGGCTGTGACTGTGCCCTGTCCTGTGCCGTCCTCACCATCCCGGGCAAACTCGAGCCTATCACTACGGTCACTGACTGTGTCGATCCGTCTTATTGAGGGTCTTCCTCTCTTTCGCTGACCCTCTGCCTTTCCAAGCATGACGTCTTTTTCCAAGGACTGGTCCCTCCTAACAAGAAGCCCTATTTTATATGTTGTTGTTGTTGTTGATTGCCATCGAGTCAAGCACAACTCAAAGCAACCCTACGAACAAAGGCCTGAAGCCCCTCTATAACTACAGTCATTTATCAGAGTTCATAGAGTTTCCAAAGGCATGTTGTTTACGAAGTGGATGCCTCTCCTGCTTCCAACTATTTTATATATGTTAACAAATTATGTACTCTTATTATCATTATTTCTACTTTCCACATGAAGCAATTGAAAACAAAGCCAACAGTTGTCATTAAGTCCATTTTGATTGGTGAGAACCTACTGTGTCAGTGGTGCTATGCTCCATGGCTAATTTTCAGGACTAGATCAGCAGGTCTTTCCTACAATGTACCTGTTGTTGTGCTCGAACCTCCAAACTTCTGATTATCAGCCCAATGTGTTAATCATTTGTGACATATTTAGAAGGGACTTCCAAATGGTGCCCCTACTGTGGAAAATAGTTTGGCAGTTCCTAAAAAAAAGCTGGACATATGGTTATCATGACTTAGCGAAATTCTACTCCTAGTTATTTACCCAAAAGAATTGAAAGCACAGGAGTCCACAATTAAGGTTGCATAGTGGAGTGCCCTTAGGGCGGTGGGAGGGGTGTGGGGGGATTGTGTACCAAAGAAAGAATTTTTCTTCTACTTTTCAAAGAGAGGAGTGAACTGGGTAGGGGGCGGGGGGTGGGGGAGGGCTGGGCAGGGAGAAAAGTGCAACAATGAATGAATGGAAATCCAAAATCTCTGTTGTTCATTAAAATTATTAAAATTTTTTAAAAATTTAAAAAAAGGAAAGAAAAAAAAGAAACGAAAGCAGGGCTCAAACTGGTAGGTATATATCATTAGTTCACTGCAGCTTTGTTCACAATAGTCCAAAGGTAGAAATATTACAGTGATCATCAACAGATAAACATAATGTGTTGTAGTCATACAAAGGAATACTCTCCAATCATAAAGAAAAATAAAGTTCTTAAACATGGATGGACTTTGAAAGCATTGTGCTGGGTGGCATAAACATAAATATTTTAAGTTCCTACTTACATAAGATTTCCAGAATCAGCAAACGTTAATTAGTGGAACAGTTTTATCAAGGAACAGAAGGCAAGGAACATAGAAAGTTTATGTCTCTTCCCTTCAAGGGTACTGAGCCTACTTAAGGTGATGAAAAATATCTGCACATAAACAGTGGTAGTAATTGTAGAATATGGTACATGGCATTAATATCATGGATTATACATTTTATAATGGTTGATGTTGCTTCCTTGGCATTATGTGAGGTGGATGGGGTTGATGTTTCCTCTTGAGCAGACAAAGGAGCTTAGAACTTCCCAGGAACACTGCTGGGTACTCTCCCTCCCCCAGACCCCTTCCCAAGTGCTCTAGATACAAAATAGTGATGTCTGCTGGAAGTGTATCTGTGACCTCTCCTGAGGCTGAGTGGGTGAGGCCTGACCCTCTTTAGCCAACAGTCTCCTACAGATAGATCTCTGTGTCTCAGTTCTGATTTCCTTGGGGTATATACCTGGTAGTGGAATAACTGGATATACAGAGATTCTACGTTCAACATTTGAGGAAAGGCCAAACTGTCTTCCAGCTTCTGCGGGGAGCTAGGGTTTCCTCAGAAATTTGGGGTGGGGGCAGGGAATGTAGTCCGGGACCCTTCACTCCCTGAGCCTCAGCATACCTGTGTCTGCAAGTGCACATTTTAAAATGCTATCTTAGGGGAGCTCTGGTGGCCTAGTGGCAAGGAGCTGCAACTACAATCCCAGAGGTGAACGGTTCGAATCCACCAGATGCTCTGCCGGGTAAGGAGGGACAATCTCCTCCTGTACCAGTCAGATCTGATTTGACGGTACATGCACACAAAAATAATAAAATAAAATAAATTAAAATGCTATCTTATTATATCTAGTTGCCATAAAGATCATATTTGACAAATAGACATAGTAAGATACCACTTTAACCATTTATCTATTTTTAAAATTTTATATTGATTTGCATACAAAATTCACATTGTGTTTCATGCATATAAATTGT